TCGGGTAATCTTTGAAATTTCATCGTGATGGGGATAGATCATTGCAATTGTTGGTCTTCAACGAGGAATTCCTAGTAAGCGTGAGTCATCAGCTCGCGTTGACTACGTCCCTGCCCTTTGTACACACCGCCCGTCGCTCCTACCGATTGAATGATCCGGTGAAGTGTTCGGATCGTGGTGATGTGGGTGGTTTTCTGCCTGTGACGTTGCGAGAAGTCCATTGAACCTTATCATTTAGAGGAAGGAGAAGTCGTAACAAGGTTTCCGTAGGTGAACCTGCGGAAGGATCATTGTCGAACCCTCGCGGTAGAATGTCTTGCTAACCTGTACCAATTATTGATTCGAATGTCGGGGTGCTGTCTTTCTGATTTGCCCAGGACGAACAAAAACACCGGCGCAGCAGCGCCAAGGAATATAATAATGAGTGTGCAACCTCGCAGAGCTTAGTTATGCTGCCTGTGAGCTTTGCATCCTTTTAATAAAAATGACTCTCGGCAATGGATATCTCGGCTCTTGCATCGATGAAGAACGTAGCGAAATGCGATACGTGGTGTGAATTGCAGAATCCCGTGAACCATCGAATCTTTGAACGCAAGTTGCGCCTCAAGCCATTTGGTTGAGGGCACGTATGCTTGGGTGTCATGCATTATGTCTCCCCTCTCGTGTGTGGAGTGGGAATAGATCCTGGCCTCCTGGGCCCTTCCTTGGGCGTGGTTGGCCGAAAATGTTGTCCTTGATTTTGTTGATGTCTTGGTGTGCGGTGGATGTGCCAGGTGTGCATAGTTGCCAGCCTTGCTCGGCTTCAATGTGGCGTCGGGATCCTATGAAGCTGCCGGTTTTGGCTCTTTGATTGCGACCCCAAGTCAGGCGAGACTACCCGCTGAGTTTAAGCATATCAATAAGCGGAGGAGAAGAAACTTACAAGGATTTCCTTAGTAACGGTGAGTGAAATGGGAATAGCCCAGCCTTAGAATCGAATGGTTTTGCCGTTTGAATTGTAGTCTGGAGAAGCGTCCTTAGCGGCGGACTGGGCCCAAGTCTCCTGGAAAGGGGCGCCGGAGAGGGTGAGAGCCCCGTTGGGCCTAGACCCTGTCGCACCACGAGGTGCTGTCTTAGAGTCGGGTTGTTTAGGAATGCAGCCCAAATTTGGTGGTGAATTCCGTCCAAGGCTAAATACAGGTGAGAGCCCGATAGCGAACAAGTACCGCGAGGGAAAGATGAAAAGAACTTTGAAAAAAGAGCCAAAGAGTGCTTGAAATTGTCGAGAGGGAAGCGGATGGAGACCGGCGATAGGCCCAGGTTGGATGTGGAACGGTGGTTAGCCGGTCTGCTGATAGGCTCTGGGTGTGGATCAGCGAGAATTCAGGTGGCGGTTGAAGCTTGGGCATTTGATATGCTAGGGGAATGCCGTCTCTTGTATTGTGGGAAGTAGTGCGCGCCCCGCGTGTGCTTCGGCACCTGCGTACTCAGGTCGTTGACTTGTGGGCTCTCCATTCGACCCGTCTTGAAACACGGACCAAGGAGTCTGACATGTGTGCGAGTTGGCGAGTGGAAAAACTCGCAAGGCGTAAGGAAGCTGATTGGCGGGATCCCTCTTCGGGGTGCACCGTCGACCGACCTTGATCTTTTGAGAAGGGTTTGAGTGTGAGCA